CCAACAACACAGTAGCTGTGATGATACTTAAGAAATTCACATTTTATGGAAGATAATGTGCAATTAACAAATAGTTCTCAGCATAGGCTGCTATGAAGTAAATATTATATAAAAACTTTTTTCAAAGTGACTGCTGACTTAAGGAAATCAAATTCTATCACCTCTTTTTATAAAAGTTTTTTGTGCATTTTCTATTGGAATATACGAGAGCAGTTAAAAGTGGAAAGTCCAAAGTTTTGCCCTGATCTATATGATTCAGCTAAGCAAGCTCAAAAAAGCCAACCATTTAGAATGAATCCTTTCATATTCTATGACTTAGAAAAATTCTTTTAAAAATTAAAAAGGAATATACATATATAATTTCATATATATATATATATATAAACTGAATCACTTTGTTGAACAACTGAAACTAATATAACATTGTAAATTAACTATATTTGAATTAAAAAAAATAGAATAGCCTAAATATATACATACACACAAGTCATCAAAACACCAAAAGGAAAAAAAAAAGATAACAGGAATCTTCTGGTTTCAAGTCTAATGACTGAATAGGGGCTATCTTGATTTCAAATTCTTATTTTGAAATAGAGGTTTGCTTCAAAATTCCTCATTGAAACTCGTTAATAGAAAAAAGACACTGTTTGGCAATAAGATTAATAAGTCATATATTAGAAAAGAAAGAAAAAGAAAACAAAGCAAAGACCACACATGCCATAAGCAATTATCAGACAGACCAGACCTATTTAGACAATTTGTATCATTACCTTCATTCACTCCTACACATAGCAAACTGGTGCTTTCCCTCATCCTCCAAGAAAATCATAAAAGACGGTATGTAATTTCCATTTCCTTTTTATAAATATAAATGTCCATGCAAATATGTGCCTAAGAGTGTGGAGTCTGGCCTGCATATACATGGGTCAATTTTTCCAATTCTCCACTTATTTAAGGCACAAAATATGCGGATATCAGTTTCCTCCCACAAAGGAGAATTACATCAAAGACGTAAGGAAAAGTGCTTTGAGAATTGTAATGTGCTCTAAAAATATGTTTGCAATGGTAAAGAGGCTTACATGGTTGGCTATTTAATAATACATAAAAAACTTTAACACACTCTCTCCAAAAATGTATGTATAAAAGTTAGAAAGAAGCCTAAAAGCTGAAAAAGTTTAAATCATAAATTATAATGCTGAGATACACTACTCTGAACCCCAGACATAAGAGATATTGGTTCTAGTAACACTCACTTAGGAAGGACCAAAGTTCATTCTTCAAAAGAAGATGCAAAAATGCTATCATAAAAGAAGTATTAGATTGTGGACTACAATTTTAGACTTGGGATGTCTCAATTAAATCTGAACACTCTGACACATCCCTTTATTAAAAAAAATAACTCTACAAGAAAGGCATTATTGTATTTTATATACTCATTTCACATGATGCCAGGTTATTAGTTCTCTTTACACAAAGCCATAATAATTCAATTCTGATTCTAGATCTGGTTCTGTTTCTTTTGCTTGTATCTGACCTTAGGACGGTGGTACAATATTTTTTTTTTCAGAATTGACATCAATTTAAAGCCAATGCTTGTAAGCCAGAAAGATAAAGACCAATACAGTATACTAACGCATATATATGGAATTTAGAAAGATGGTAACAATAACCCTATATGCAAAACAGAAGAAGAGACACAGATGTACAGAACAGACTTTTGGACTCTGTGGGAGAAGGCGAGGGTGGGATGTTTAGAGAGAAAAGCATCAAAACATGTATATGATCAAGGGTGAAACAGATCACCAGTCCAGGTTGGATGCATGAGACAAGTGCTCGGGGCGGGTGCACTGGGAAGACCCAGAGGGATGGGATGGGGAGGTCGGTCGGAGGGGGCATCGGGATGGGGAACACAAGTAAATCCATGGCTGATTCATGTCAATGTATGGCAAAAACCACTACAATACTGTAAAGTAATTAGCCTCCAAATAATAAAAATAAATGGAAAAAAAATAAAGCCAATGCTTAGCATTCTTTTTTCAATTTTTAAATGGAAGATAATTGCTTTACAATGTTGTGTTGGTTTCTGCCATACAACAATGCTAATCAGCCATATATATATATATGTATATATATATATATATATATTCCCTGTCTCCTGAGCCTCCATCTGACCCCCATAGCCCACCCCTCCAGGTCATCAGAGAACACCAGCCTAGGTCCCCATGGTATACAGAAGCTTCCCACCAGCTCCTTTACACATGGTAGTGTATACATGTCAATGCTACTTTCTCAAATCATCCCACCACCTCCTCCCCTCACTGTGTCCACCAAGTCTGTTTTCTGCATCTGCATCTCTATTCCTGCCCTGCAAATGGGTTCATCAGTACCATTTTCTAGATTCCATGTGTGTGCCTGTGCTAAGTCAATTCAGTTGCATCTGACTCTTTGTGACCCTATGGACTGCTGCCCACCACAGTTCTCTGTCCATGGGGATTCTCCATGCAAGAATACTGGTGTGGGTTGCCAGTCCCTTCTCTAAGGGATCTTCCCAACCCGGCAATCAAAACCACACCTCTTACGTTTCCTGCATCACAGGCAGGTTCTTTACCACTAGTGCCACCTGGGAAGGCCCCTAGATTCCTTATGTACGTGTGCATGTTAGTTGCTCAGTCATGTCCTACTCTTTGTGACCTCACGAGGTATACAGCCCGCTAGGCTCCTCTGTCCATGGAATTCTCCAGGCAAGAGTACCAGAGTGGGTTGCCATTCCCCTCTCCAGGGGATCTTCTCAACCCAGGGATCGAACCCAAGTCTCCTGCACTGGAGGCAGAATCTTTACCATATGAGCCCCCAGGGAAGCCTAGATTCCACACATATGAGTTAATACACAATATTTGTTTTTCTTTCTGGCATTAGCATTCTTAAAAATAACATAGTAAACTTGCAATTCATATAACACTGATTTGCCTATAGTTTTACACCTACAAAGGATGCGTGGCCAATATACTCTTAGTCACTTTCATTTCTTACAGGTGTTTCTCTTTCTTGGTTTACAGTGGGCACTCATTAAATATACGTCACATAATCCATAACTTGAAAAGAGGATAGTCTGAGGATGATATGCTGAAAGAAGGAAAAAGGCTATAAAAGTGATAGCAATATAAAATGAAAAGGATATGTCATTTAATAAAAGTATAACACATTTAATACACAGTATGCAATAAAGAAGCTAAGTTGTAGTGAGAGAAACATAAATTTGGACTCCTATTAGGCCAAATTCCCCTAATATGGAAATTTAAAAACCTCTTCACTGAAGATTATATACTTATCCTCAATTTATATTTTAAATGTTAAATAAAGCACTGCCAATTCAATTATATATTTTCCTATTTAGCATTTCCTAAAGAGTGTGCTACTGTTCTATTTCTACATGTTTTCAATAACATATTTAGAAAGAACATTTAAAAATAGAGAGCTTTGGAGAAGGGATAGATTGGGACTTTTGGATTAGCAGATGCAAACTATTATATACGGGATGGATAAACAACAAGTTCCTATTATATGGCATAGAGAACTATAGTCAATATACTGTGATAAACCACAATGGAAAAGAATATAAAAAAAGATTATATACATAGGTATAATTGAATCACTTTGCTATACAGCAGAAACTAACATATTGTAAATGAACTATATCCCAGTAGAGCAAAATTTAAAACTAAATAAATAGTGTTGTGTTATGTGAAAAGCATTCTACCCCCACTCGCCAAGAATACCAAAGGATTTAGGGCAAATTTCCAGACAAAGACGATAGAGATCCTTGTTTCAACTGAAAGCCTAGAGGAACAGGATGCTGAATAAAATGCAAATATAAGAATTTTTCTTATTTCTAGTAGCTAATGGTGAACACTTAACTATAATCCCCCTTTACAATGGAGGTTTTACCACATACAATATTTAACATAAGCCTTCCAAGTAGGCTTGAATTGTGTTAAAGAAGCTATCTTAAAGAATACCATAAAATGGTCCCATTCTGCCTTTTATGTATGTAGAGGTGATTTCTTTTTACAAAAGAATATATGCAAATATATTTGCATACACAAATACAGTACACTTACATTGTGTGCTCTATCAGAGAAAATACCCCAAAATTCCTTGAGATGAATTTTAAGTATACCACCAGAATCAAGTCACATGCCTGTATAAAGACATACCAGGAACCTGACATATCTATAGTATTCACAGATGCAGATATATATTTATGGGACTCTGTCTGCATAAATCAAATGCCTATGAATAAAACATCATTTAACTCTACAGGAATTCAATTCCAATTTCAGAAGTAGAGCATCACCAAAGCCTTGGCCACTGTTGAAACAAGAAAGCAAAAAAAAAAAAAAAAAAAAACCAAAAAACCATTTCTTAATAATAACAACTTCTTTAATACATTATATTCAAATTTTTAATCAATGTCAAAAACAACTTCAGCCTAATGTTTATTTTCAGACACAAAAATGAAGGTAACAAAGGTTTTCTAAATTTCCAATTTTCAGTGTAACCTGTATACCACTCTCCACTCATAAACGGAAATATACAAGGTGACAAAGCGTGCTTCTCCTGAGACAAGAAAATATGTAGACTACAGCGTCTGACGTCAAACGATACAACCTCCCATCCTCTGTTTCTACTGCATCACAGAAAGCTGTTCCAGATCTCACAACTAGCTGAAAGCCTCAAGCATCTACAAATGTTCAGATCAGAAGATCGTCTTTGCTACTGAACCGCAGAAGGTACTAGGGATCCATGACCAACACCCATATTCCAAGTCAAACAGAAGATGATGAAAGTCAACCAAAGTCAACCCTTTCAGACTCCGCCAGAGACATGGATGCAATCAAGTGATGCAAAACATAAAAACCAAAAACAATCATGCAGTCACAAGGTCTGGTGGCAAAATCTCTTTAGCAGCGATGGGGGGAGAGGAAAAGGTTGGTACCCACCTGGGATCTTTCTGAATGCTGTCGATGGATGGGGACCTGGCCAAGGTGCCTTCCGGGGGAAGGGCAGGGCCGGATTTGCTGTAAGGAGACTCGACGGAAGGACAGTACTGCAGCTGTCGGTAGGGATCCGCGTAGCTGGAGGCCGGGCCGGCGGCATAGCTGGCCCTCTGGAAGGTGGCTGCGGCGGCGCTCTGCGGGCCGTGCTGGCTGCCTGTGCGCTGCAAGGGGACGGAGTCGACACCGGGGGAGGACGGGGCTAGGGCAGGAAAGTAGGGACAGAGTAAAAAATTGAGGACCTGCTCACAGAAACGGTTCACCAGGTCTAGGCAGGGGGGAAATTACACACATAAAAAAAAAAAAAACAACAACAAGGGTTTGAAAGAATTAACAAAATTGTTACATTTCAACTAATGCATCCAATATTATCCACTACAATGACAATTAGCATGCTATTTCATTGGCCCAAAACTTGGTTGGGGTTTTCCCATTCCATCTTAGGGAAGAACCTGAACGAACTTTCTGGCCAACCCAATATTTCAGGAATAACCCTTTCATCTCTAGGACCAAAATGCCTCTATGATGTGTTTCCTGCTTCCTGACTTCCAAGAAGAGGTTTGTTCATCTGACAAGTAAACTCTGTATGGAACTAAAACCCAGAAGAAATGGAAGGGATATTTTCTAAGGACTTATGGGCAGTGAGTTCTTCATTGTTTCCGCTGAGAAAATTCAGGCAGTGTTCATTCACAGGTTGATAGATTAATTTTATTAAGGGTGTGAAACATATTTAGTAATGTGGTTAATTTTTCCCAAATAAAAGAAAACAAGGAAAGTTGAGAGGCGTGTATCCGTGGGGGTGGAGGTGGACGTGGGCCTGTAATTAGTGCTAGAGCATTAAATGCAGGACTAGACAGTTCTTGTAAAGTTCAACACCGACAAGATTTTTATATGTCTCTTTTTCAACTCGAGCTGTCATACTAACAAATACACTTGGTGAAGGGTAGGCATGCCAGAGGCGATGAAGACCCACCCGACTGCAACGCAGACAAAATAAGGTGCTGACTTGGCTTTTCCAGAAGTATTTGCATCTCTTCAATAACGCCTAAATTGTCGGAAGAAGATCTGACGCCAGTTACTAAAATCGGTTTGACTATTTCCAAGCTGAATTTCAGCTTTCTGTTTCCTTTCCTGGGTTCTCTGGAGTCTGTTTCCTATCATTATTTTTATCTGGTTCTCAAAAATACCTGACATCTAAGATTTAGGTGACCTATACAATGAAAATATAGCATCTTCCATATTAATAGAATGTGATTTGTTAATAACTATTTGATCATTATCCATGATTAATATTAGGTGGCACCTTTACTTTCTAGCTCAGAATGAACATATACACACTACTATATATAAAATAGATAACAAAAAAGTACCTACTCTACAGCACAAGAAACTCTACTCAATATTTTACAATAAACTACATGGGAAAAGAAATTGGAAAAAAGGCAAATATATATATTCACATATATATATGAGACTGAACCACTTTGGTGTACACCTGAAACTAACACAACATTGTAAATTAGCTATACTTCATAAAAATATATCCTGTGTCTCGATATGACCATTTATAACATGCAAGCTCTACATAGAATTAGATTCCAATTATCAATCACATCCTACAACTCAAGACTTTTTGAGCATTACCCAGTGAATGGTGATAAACTTATTCTTTCTCACATTAGAGGACATATTCAAAATCAAATACAGAAGAAAGAAAACAATTCTAGTTTAATATTAAAGGAAGTTAAGGATTTCATGTCAAAGTGATAAAAAAAAGTTGCAAAGTGAACTGGAGAAATATATTCTAATATGAGAACTGATTTTAATTAAGAGGTCAGGGCTTCTCATTTTCAATGACCTTTTAAAACTTAATCTTATAATAACCAAAATCAGGAGACCAGGTACCATGACACCAAATGAGAAAAATATTTCCTTGATGGATTAAGTTTCAAAGCCATTAGATTAGACTAATAAAAAATTAAGTTCATAACCAGAAAATCTGTCTTATGTCTGTGCAGTTTCTGGAGCATTTATATTTTCTCCCAAATTTTGCAAGCATGTCTAATTAAAATTCACATTTTAATATTTATGAACAATGTGCTATATGTCATGGGAACAGGGATTTAAACTTCAGGCCAGGCATAACCATGCTCTTGGAAGAACAAATGCCCAGAGGTAAACAAAGTTTCATTTTCTAGATGAGTTGTGAAAAGCCAGTCAGCAAATTAAAGGCAAAAGGGAAAACTAACAATAACCTGACATTTTTTCAGATGAATACAATTTTTTCTTTCAGGAACTAAATATCTATATTAAAGCTTCCTAAAAAGGGTTACTAATATCAGAAAAATTATTTTCTATACAAAATTATTTGTTACTAATATCTTGAAATACAGTGTTTAACAGGAAAGGAAGGCAAAATGGCAAGGATGACAATTTAAGGCTGAAACATAAAATGTAAAAAAAAAAAAGAGAGAAAAAGATTGAAACATGACAAAACACTACTGTTAAAAAATGATAACACAAGTTAAAAAAAAACTCTCAGAGGAATGAATGAATTTTAAAAGAATAGGGAATTCTCTAGCGATGCAGTGGTTAAGACTCCACATTCTCAATTCAGGGGGAACAGTTCAGTCCCTGGCTGGGGAAACTAAGATCACGTAAGCTGCAAGGGAGACTGGACCAAAGGTGAAAGCGGAGTGTGAAAGGCAATAGAGCAGGAACAAGAAGACAACGTCTCACAGTAAGAGGAGAAGAAAAGGTGAAGGGCAGTTTATGAATGTTGTTAGGCTCAGATATATATTCTACGCCGGCATTGGCCTTTTGGGGAGGAAATGTCAGGGAACTCCACATTCAGAGCTTGGCTTCGGAAGCTAACAATCAAGGCCACATCTGGGCTTTCCAGTCAATCATCTGTATCTGGCAAGTAACTGAGTTCTCAAGGCTCCAGTTTCCTGACTGTTAAGTGAAAAGAAGACAAGGGCCCAATGGGATGACTGTTTTAAAGGCAAGAAAAGCTATTAATGCCTAGTAAGTGCAAAACAACCTGATGCGAAGAGCTGACTCACTGCAAAAGACCCTGATGCTGGGAAAGATTGAGGGTGGGAGAAAAAGGGGACAACAGAGGATGAGATGGTTGGATGGCATCACTGACTCAATGGACATGAGTTTGAGCAAGTTCCGTGGGGGAGATAGTGGAGGACAGGGGAGCCTGGCATGCTACAGTCTATGGGGTGGCAAAGAGTCAGACGTGACTCAGGGACTGAGCAACAACAACAACTATTATTACTACTATTTAATAATGTTGAAATCAGTTCACGTTAGGAAAGAGATTGGATATAACACATGGAGTAACAAGTCCTTGCCTGATATAAAGTGTGGATATCAGACTTTATAACTCCTGGAAGTGTTTAACTAGTGTGCTCTCTTATCTCCTCCAACAACCCAATACTAGAATAAATTGCCAACATCTGTTGGATCATCAAAAAGGCAAGAAAGTTCCTGAAAAACACCTACTTCTGCTTTATTGACTATGCCAAAGCCTTTGACTGTGTGGACCACAACAAACTCTGGAAAATTCTTAAAGAGATGAATACCAGACCACCTGAGCTGCCTCTTGAGAAATCTGTATGCAGGTCAGGAAGCAACAGTTAGAACTAGACATGGAACAACAGACTGGTTTCAAATAGGGAAAGGAGTACTTCAAGGCTGTATATTGTCACCCTGCTTATTTAACTTATATGCATAGTATATCATGAGAAACGCTGGACTGGATGAAGCACAAGCTCTAATCAAGACTGCCGGGAGAAATATCAATAACCTCAGATATGCAGAGGACACCACCCATATGGCAGAAAGTGAAGAACTAAAGAGCCCCTTGATGAAAGTGAGAGTAAAAAATTTGGCTTAAAGCTCAACATTCAGAAAACTAAGATCATGGCATCCAGTCCCATCACTTCATGGCAAATAGATGGGGAAACAGTGGAAAGTGGCAGACTTTATTTTTTTGGGGGCTCCAAAATCACTGCAGATGGTGACTGTAGCCATGAAATTAAAAGACACTTGCTCCTTGGAAGAAAAGTAATGACCAACCTAGACAGCAGATTAAAAAGCAGAGACGTTACTTTGCCAACAAAGGTAGGTCCATCTAGTCAAGGCTATGGCTTTTCCAGTAGCCATGTATGGATGTGAGAGTTTGACAATAAAGAAAGCTGAGCGCTGAAGAACTGATGCTTTTGAATTGTGGTGTTGGAGAGGACTCTTGAGACTCTCTTGGACTGCAAGGAGATCCAACCAGTCTATCCTAAAGGAAATCAGTCCTGAATATTCATTGGAAGGACTGATGCTGAAGCTGAAAATGCCAACACTTTGGCCACCTGAGGCCAAGAACTGACTCATTAGAAAAGACCATGATGCTGGGAAAGATTGAAGGTGGGAGGAGAAGGGGATGACAGAGGATGAGATGGTTGGATGGTATCACCGACAGCATGGACATGAGTTTGAGTAAGCTTCGGGAGTTGGCAATGGACAGGGAGGCCTAGCAAGCTGCAGTCCATGGGGTCGCAAAGGGCTGGACATGACTGAGTGACTGAACTGACTGACTCTTATTTCCTTCCAACAACCCAATACTAGAATAAACGTGCTCTCACTTTACAAGTGGGAAACTGAGGCACAGAGAGATGCTACAACTTGCCCACGTTTGCCTTATATTTAGGAGAGAAGGAATTCATACCCTTGAGCCCTGTTTCCCAAGTTTATAATTACAACTACCAGCTTTATAAACTGGACCAGGTTTATAATCTCAAATATGTGTATTCCTGAAGTACCTAACACAGTGAGAAAACTTAGAAAAATTGATGAGAGGCCTAAAATTAAGGGAAATGTCTCCCAAAAGTATAGAGAAGAGATGGGTTTATAATAAGGATCAACAACTTGAATAATATAGGGAAAAACTACTATACCTTGTGTGCAAATTTATACTATGTCTTATTTAATTGAATTTATTGATATTCAGAAAAATCTTTATTTCTGGGAAAATCAAGTGTTTTGAGTCTTAGCTTAATCAGTGATATTATATTAAGAAAAAAGTGGGCAGACTATGAAATCTAAGGCAAGTAAACAACTTTCAGAAAGATCTTATTTAAAAATGACAATCACATTTGCATCATTTAACAAATGGCCTTTAAGAAGTATCATTCCTGAAGC